TTTTTTTTTTTTTTTTTTTTTTTGTGTGTGTGTGTGTGTGCGGTCAAGCCTTCAAGCGTTCACAACGTGAATATATTAAATTTGTTGTGGACTCCTATGCTTCTTTATTTACTTTTTCTAACTCAATTTCCACAATTTTGCAGGGATGAAAATCAAGAAATTGCTGCCAGCTGATGCAGAAGCTCGGAGACTCATCGACTGGATGGAAAAAGGTTTGCAGTCACAAAAAGTGTAGGGGTGTCGCATTTCTGGCAGAGTAGAGCCTTGTGGTGACACACACAAAGTGTAGGGGTGTCACATTTCTGGCCGAGTTGAGCCTTGTGGTGACCCACAAAAAGTGTAGGGGTGTCGCATTTCTGGCAGAGTCGAGCCTTGTGGTGACCCACGAAAAGTGTAGGGGTGTCCCATTTCTGGCAGAGTAGAGAATTCTGGTGACCCACAAAAAGTGTAGGGGTGTCCCATTTCCGGCAGAGTATCACGTGGTTTGATTAATATCTAGAACACCCTATATGAGTATAGTGCCGAGTGGTCTATTGCCGTATGAGATGATTTTAGTATTCTTGTGGACATTCTTGTGGACATTCTTGTGGACAGATGATTTGGCATGTATTGGTCTGCAATTTGCGTGCAAATCCAGACAGACTCTGGTAGCTCAGTCGGTACACCCATGAACTGATGAAATTCAGCCCTGAGTTCGAACTCCAGTGGAAGCAAATGAGTAAGTCACTGCAATTCTGAATTACCTAGGGCCTGTCCGTTCAAATGATGAGATGATATCTCAAGGCCTTTGCCCTTTAAATAAATAAATAAAATGAATAAATAAAATAAATCGATAAAATGATAAATTTATAATAATATAATTAAAATAAATAAATAAAATGATAAATTGATAATAATAAATAAATAATTGATAACTGGTCGTCGGAAATTTCACACAGATCTAACGCTGCTACTATGACTTGTACGCATTTGGGAGCACAGGAATGAATCAGTGGTGGGAGCGGGCTGAATTGGAAGGACTGTCAAGGATGACATTTAATTTACTAGTAGAAAGGTGACATCGTCATGTCGGTGGAACCCCCTCAGGAGGACTTCCTGGCAGGAATTGAAATGCGCCACCGGGGATGTCATCTCCTGTGACTATTGTGCTATTCACTCCATTTTCAAGCAATGTCAACGCATTGAGTTCGTCCTATCTTTCTTTCTTTTTTTTTTCCTCGTTGAGTTCGTCCAACCTTGTGTGCTGTGATCAAGTGATTTGCATTGTCTACTCTAGTATAAGGCGTGTACGCTGTGCAGTGTGCACAACTATTTGATAAGTTATTAACCTATAAGGCCGGACTATATGATATGTTATTAACCTATAACTTGCTATAAGGCTCTAAGTAGTCTCACACATGGCACGACTGGACATCCCCATCAGAAAACTCCATCTGTCCACTGCCAGGCTTTACATGTCAGCGGGCTGAGCAGCCAAGGGTGTCTTCTGGGATTTGTCCCTTTTACAACTGGTTGTACTGTTGTACTTGTATTCTGGAGGGGGTGCCCACATTGTATAACCTGAGGGGGGGCAGTCCTACACCTGGTTGGATGCTCATCCTCCCAGGACCTCCCTGCTTTTGATCAACCATTTAGATCTCATCCTCAGGAGCTGGTGTGTAATCTGTTTTTGTTAAGTTTCGTCTTCGTCCGGAGGCACGATCTTATTCAAACTTTCTGTCAGTTCCCAATACTTGGCATTGAATCTGGTCCTTCCAATAGTCGAGCCGACTCAATAGTCGAGCCGACTCAACAGTCTTGTTCCTGCAGACAACATTCGTACATGATATGTCTGGTCATCCCGTGGGTATGGATAAATTCACCCTTTCATACTGTTCTGGCCCACTTCTGTGTACGTGGGCATGCTCACACAGTAGGACGTTTCAGACTTAATCTGCCCTAGACTGGCCATGATTGCGAGGATTGCTCACTCTGTGTGTGTGTGTGTGTGTGTGTGTGTATTCACTAAGTACTACTCTTAAGAACTCCTCGAGTCGACCAGAAAAAAAGGTAACTGTTTAACTGTGACTGTTTCTTCGAATTTTCACCAGGCTGAGATTGGTGTGTGTGATGGAGGCCCTTTGGAAGTCTGGAGGGTGGTGCTTGACTCTGTATAAGACTGTAACTGTGTAAAAAGTTACTAAAAACAGTGTAATTGGATTTTTTTTTTTTTTTGAAGTATTTTTTTGTATTTTTTTTCTGTGTAATTGTGATTTATGATTTATCTCAGGACTCTGGTTTTCTTTTTCTGTTTTTTTCCAAATTTTTGAATGTGCTAGCCTAGCACCTGTTTATTTTCAGTGAGTAAAGTTATTTTGCATGATGGTTCAACCTGTTTTTTTGTCTCTTTTGTTTGACAATGTGCGTGTGCGTGGTAGGTGTTTATGATGCTTTGCAAAAGAAGTATCTTAAGACTTTGGTCTTTGGCCTGTGCAAGCAAGAGGAAGGGCCACTGCTGGAGGACTACACATGTAAGCTGCAGCTGGTTGCTATGGGCTTATCACGCTTTATTTTATCAACTTTCCTAAGTTTTCGTTGTTTTCAATTGTATATTACACTTATTATCTAACATCATTTTCGGCTTACAACTTTTTGCAAGTATCCTTTCCATGTTCATGTTGCTCTTCGAACTTTTTTCAACTTCGAGATCTTTACTCGCTCTGAACGTTTGTCCATATTCGGTAGGTTTTTTTTTTTTTTTTTTTTTTTTTTTTTTTAAGGGGCAAACACGTTGGAGTCGCACCCGACGTTCAGAATAGGCAACTTTAGCAGTTCCCGAAATGGAGCCAAAAAAAAAAGGTCACCCCCCTAAATCTGCCAAGTGCCACTGCGGGTAATGACTGGCGCAGTTTTATACCCCCACTAAACTTGCACATTTTGAAACCTGGTAGTGAGTCAGTTCATCCGGTAGGAAAGTAATATGGGCGAGATCCCACTGGCAAAAAGGATTGAATAAGTGTCTGAATCTGGATGTGTTTGTGGAGAGGTGCAAAAAGTTGTAAGTGATCTGCTTTTCTGCATCTCTTCCTGGAACACGTCCTGATTCCGACACTTATTCCAATCCTCTTTGCCAGTGGGATCTGGCCCTATGTAAGATAATAAGAGCATCCAGAAGGGAAAAAAAAAGGGTCTTAAACCACCAGTAGGCCCATACATCGGCCACGGCGCTTCCCCGTTAACGCGACCCGCCTTTACGGCTTCGGGGTACTGGACCACAATGGCTGGAGGCAGCAGCCAACATGAAAACAAAAAGTCGTGCTGGCGGTTCGTCAAAACTCGGCGCGCAGTGTGCTCCAAGGCTTGGCATGATAGCTGGGCCAAGTACTGGTGCTTCAATTTTCAACTCCTGAATCAGTTTTTAGAACATGGAGGGTCAAGTGCCGCTGTCCCAAAAAATCACTCAAAATGTGGAATTGGTCTGTCGCAATACCCAGGGGTGTGTGCCCAAGGCCACGTTTTCACATTAAAATTTCCGGATTGTGGTTTTGCAAAAATT